ATTCCATTCAAACTGCCCTTGGCCCGATTGGCCCTTAGGACAAAGTTTGTGAACAGTGATACCTATTATGGACTCTTTCTCCCTTCAGCAGTCAAATGAGTCTCCAGTGCATAAGGGCTACAAGAACTTACTCTGGTCCTCTTAGCTTTAGTCATGTGACATCTCCTACCAACTTCAATTTACTTTATAAAATACCTCCTTTGCCTGCCTTACAGGATTGCTGTGATGATATCATTTGATATATATGAAACATTAGATGTTTACAAACATACACATACCTGTAAATACCTTTAAAAGATAAGGAACTTCAGTTTTTATGGTATGAAGTTAGTTTGGGGGCACTCCGGCCCAAATAACCTTCAAATTGAATTAGGTAAACTAAAAAAAATAGAAATAACCAAAAGACCACCTAGAATAAAAAAATTTCTCAAGTGATGAGAAACCAAAATTATCTGTGAATTAGACAGTAAAAGGAAAGAAAATGAATAGTTTGTCACTTACTAAAGCACTTCTTCAAGTTGATGCGCAGAATGAAGTGAGGATAATTACCCGAATCTTCAGGGAGCTTGTAATTAATTTGGTGATAATGTGAGACATCCAGAGCCAGCATTTACTATTTATTCATCAGAACATGAAAAGTTTAAAGAAAAAAAAATTTTTTTCAACATCAGGATTTCTTTAAATTCCTTATTTGTGTACACTGCAGAATTACACGATTTTAAAGATGACAATTTAAAATATTTTGTTGCAGTAAAATATTCTTTTTATGAAAGAATATTTTGAAAATTCATTAGTCTACAGTTTTATTTATAATTTAACATAAAGCTAAAGATATTCTCCTCTGTTGTAAGTTTAAATGATTTTCTTCTGTTTTGTTAAAAAAGCAAATCAGTGATATAACATTTATAAAATAAAGGTTAGCCATTAATATGATGCCATAGAAATCATAAAGAAAGAAAAGCAAGTTAAACAGGTAGTCTCAAGGAGAAAATCTTCCTCTGTTTCCTGGAATTAGAATATTTAGCATTGTTTTCTGTAAATGTTTTTTTATTTTTTTACTGAGATTCACAAGTGCAAAGTAGGTACATTCACATTTTATTTATACATATCAGTAGCCTTTTATAATTCCATGTTTGCGCTGAAGTTTAAAACAATGTGCTTTTGTAAAATATCTAATTAAATTTTAACTTTTAAAACAAACTTTTCAAAGAAATGATGTTCAGATTCTAGAAAACCATATTAAATCTTCTTCCTATTGTACTTTGAAGTATTCATTGAAAGAAAATTTATCCAATCCCATTGTCTGAATCCTATGCTAAATAAAGATATAATTAGGTTAAGGAGAAAAACAGTGTAGTCTCACAATTGTGTTACCAGAGCTGCATAATCTCCTAGATAGGAAACATCTGCCAGGTTGCTGGTTAGACGCTCACATGGTCCAGAAAATATTCCATCATAGATCACAGTCCAAGCCACTGGGGTGTGGAAGTAGCAATAAAGTGCTTTCTTTATTTAGATTTAAACTGCCACGACCAATATTATATCATTTCTATCACTTGGCTAGAGTAGAAAAAAGATAATTTAGTATAATCTAATGCCTGACAAATAATACACTTGAGATTTTCTCACCTATAAAACATAACCATATTTTAGTAACACCAAAACTTACTTAACATTCCTTCTAAGGAAAGTGACTCAGTTTCTGCCTGTCACAGTTGCAAATGAATCTGCTCTCTGCCTCTGGGAATACTGATGATGAGAGGGGAAATGTAATGAATCAGAACCATAAAAGCAACCAGAATTCTACCTCGGCAGCATTAGTGTACAAAACTCTTATGGAGACCCAAATACCATATCAGACTGTCTCAGAACGCATCAAAATCCAGTTTCCAACTGTGATTGAATTTGCCAGTTTCTTCTAAGGTCTATTCACAGTCAGTATTCATTGGAATATCTTGAAATTTTCATAGAATAATCCAGTTTCACCCTGATAAGCAGATATGCATATTGGATGAGGGAAGGCTTACTACTACCCCTGGTCCCAGCAAGATTTAGTATCAAATTCTTTTATTGCCTAGTTCCTGTTTTAGTTGTGATGACTAATTAATAAAATTTGGTGCAATGGCTTTCTCTTGAGAAATCATCCTGTCTTGAGTAATAAAAATCTATATAAATTCATGTGCATATACTCTACTTTTGTAATTTATAATAATAGAGCTTATCATTTCCAGGCACAAGGCTTAGCATTTCCATGGCATAAGCATGGATAGTCTGTAGGAATAGTGAATCCTGAGGGAAGTTAAATGGAATTTGGAAATTGGAGAGATTTCCAGGGCATTATTACTCAGAAAAGATACATTAAATAAAGAAAATGGAATTCAGTATATTCATCAGTAGTTCAGATTTTGAGTTTATATCTCTCTGCATTATTTTTATGTGAAAGCTTTGTGATCTATTGTCTATTTTAGCTTCTGACATGAAGATAAACTTCCAAAACTGTTCTCCTTTTACTTTGAAATATCTGTACCCAGCAGAGCCGCACAAATGAGAACTGGGAGATATAGCAGTTATTAAACCAACAACAGTCTAGAACCAACTGATATTGAAGCAATACCAGGACTAAGGTTCCATGTAGGTCATCTGTTGTTATTGTTGTTACTGTTGTTTAAAGGCATAGCTGAGGGAGAGTGAAAATCAAAGGATTTTAGTCTGAAAGATGAAAATTTTCCAGTTTTAGAATAGTGGTTGGAGATCATAGATTATATTCACATATTTTAAGATTATTATTTCGATTAGGGAACAGGGTAATTCCTGTTTAGATAATGGAGAGAAGTTGCATAGAGTCAGCTGTGATGTGGAATGCCTTTCTAAGTGGTTTCAGCAGTGAAAAGGATTGCCCAGTAAGTAAGCTTCCCTCATTGGAAAAATTTTCTTAATTATATATATAAATACAAGATACAATATAATATTATATAAATATAAAATAAATGAGCCTTTGCTATATATATTTAATTCCAACATATAATTTATATATGCAGATATGTATATAATTTATATATGTATATATTTATACACATACTTATATATGAATATAAGTTATATATATATATAATACATGATGATACATAACTAACATTTATTGAGAACTTACTATGTACCACGCAATGTGGAAGGCTCTTTACCAGGTATAATCCTTTAACATCTTAAAAAATTTTTACATGATAAATACTGTCTATCATCCACATTTTAGAGGATGAAAAGAGAGATGAAGTAACTTGGCCAAGGTTATACAATTAGAAAGCAATGGAGTTGGTTCTGCAGCAGAAAAAAATGAGTTTCTGCCAGAAATAACATAGAAGAGATTTTTTTTTGCATTAAATAAAAAATAGAAATAGAAGTTTTCTAACTAGCAGGTAGGTTTGTGGCAGAAATAGCCTTTTCCAAATGTTTGAATGGATGCAGGCAAGAGAAAACTTGCTTACTGAGTTTATAGCTATATATTTTTTACCTATCTCTCCCACAATATCTATAAAAAATAGATACATGGTAAATAACAAGTTAGACTGGTCACTTTGGACAGTATGATAAGAATATTTGCAATTGAAAAGCAAATACCATTTCAGAGATTTTTTTTTTCCCCTTTAATCAAGTTACAATACCAACCTCTTGTGAGACAGATATTATCTGGAATTACAAATGCATTAATAATAAAGGGATGCACAACTGTTTGCTCTATCTTTCCCTGATATTTTTGCATGTCACTTGCTTTCCTAAAATGGAAGCAAAACTAATTTGCTTCTCTGGGTATGCTTATCACCTTCAAAGGTGTAATCATTTCTTTGAAGTGATCACTCTGTTTAGATGTTAAGTCAAACTTTGGAAACTTTGAGTTTAACCTGACTGAGATTTTCACACTGGAAAGAATCTTATGAGGAATTCTGTAAGGTTACTGTCAAATTACAAGATGTAATTTGAAGACTAACTGGAGAAAAATTACAGTGTGCTGCTGCTATCCTAATGCCTTTCCCTATTTGTTCCCCCTCAACTTCCCTTATTCTTCTAGGTTATTTTCCCCCGTAAGAATGACCTATCTTTGTTTCTGAGTTTTAATAGGAACACGTGACTAACCGAGTATAGTTAAAGATTTCACTTTCTTGCTTCCCCATTTTGCCCCTTCCTGAGTATCCTCTACCCTAGCTTCCTGGTTTTAAGTTCTGGATGATAACTGGCAATAGCAGAGAGACCACTGTAATTTCACCTTGAATTCCAGGTTTCTTTTGACTCACAGTCTCAGAAGAAGTGTCACCTCTTTAAGTCATGTTGTTCATTTCATGTCAAACCACCTTGTTTTGAAAGCCAGCATTTCTTACCATTATAAAGCAACCGTGCTTATGAGGATAAGACAAGGCTTCCAGTTTAGAAGCATGCTCCTTTGATGGGAATCAATGAAACTGAACCAGCATATTCCAAACACTCATTCTTGGACTGGCATTTCACTTCTGGAAATTTATTCATATTTATAAATAAGAGTAAGTGTGTTTTATAAAAGAAACCCTTTCTTCTGAGGTTGCTGGCAGCTCAGCTTTTCTTTCTTTTTTTTCTCCAAGTATAGTATACAAAAGAATGAAAGAAAAGCCAATTTGCATGTTTCCCATATTAACACAATCTAAAATAATTTACAATACAAATCAGTAGGATTCTAGCAGATGAATGCAAATGAGACCTTTTAAATCAGAAACTAAATTAATCATTGAATTATAATTGCAAAATAATATTATCATACATTAGGTGGCATTGAGTGGCATTGTTACATAGCAGAAAGGGTCCTGACATTCTTGTGTTCTTCCCATCCACTGTTTTAAAGCACTGTAAGACTGGCCTCTTATCCAGTCAGCAAAAGGTCAGACTGTTGCTCCATGGCATGGGTAGGCAAGTGTTTTCATTTATTTGCTGTTCTATTCCTGTCTTCTTGTTTATCTTCATTTCATTTTTGTTTTCAGTTGACATGTGGTCAGTAGGGTGCATCATGGGAGAAATGATAAAAGGTGCAGTGCTGTTTCCTGGCACTGATCGTATCCTTCTTAGCAGCCAGTGGTCTCTATGGGTATCATTCTCAGTCAATTCCTTTTGGTGTCCAATACAATACTGATGATGGTATATTCTCACTGCCATTAGAAGGATTCTGGAGACTCCAACATCAAATGTTTACCAGCTGGCATTATGGTAGGGTAACCTTGTCTCCTAGCAAGATCTTATGTGGATAATACAGTATCAAATGTGGAACATTCAACATGTTATCAAAAGGTCTGCCTTAATTTAGTCCTATGAAATTAATGACAGTGATATAGTCTTTACTGTCTTTTGTTGTAGATGTTTTAAAATTAAATTATATTCATAGCTAGATAATAAATGACAAAATCTTTTAGTTTAAAACAATATTTGTGCTTTTATATCATAAAAATATTCACTTGGCATGGAAATCTTTTATCAGTTAGATTTATGTGTACTCACAAATGTAATAGGTTTATTATTAACATATAATCAGAGAGCATTCATACGAATTTCATTTTTAAATTGATCTTCTAAAATTATTTTTCTCATTTACTTAATTTCTAGGAATAATAACTCCATTCCTGCTCTTATTTTCTCCACATTATTAGCAAGTACAATAATTAAAACCTCATTAATAATAATGATTATATGAAATATCTGAAGAGACCAAATTTACATCACTTGAATAAGTAAAAGTGATCCTCTCTTAAGCAGCTAATAATTAGCAATTAAAGATTCTAGAGGCTCTGCAGTATTAAAAAGATATGGATAATGTGATTTAGTGTACGGGTTTATAATAACTTATTTTCTTTAGTTAGTTAAATATCCTCCTACGTGTAGTCATTTATGAAAATATTATATTCTCACCATACTAAAGATAAAATGATCATTACTTAAATGATAATTCAAAAACAAAATCAAACCTATAGTAATGGTGTTTTAAAGTATAATTAAAGTAAATCTAATTACTAATATTATAGCCTAATCATATTATAATTAGCCATTTGCTCTGAGGATTAATATATCACATATATATAGTTGCATACGTATATTCTCTGTATGAATTAAAGGACCAACTTACAAAATGACCGAGTTAGGCACTCAGTTTTTGTAGAATAAAAATCTTAACCTGAAATGTTTTGTTTAGTTAAAAATAAAGCTGCACTACTTTTAATTCTGTTCTTACTAAAAACTTTTGTCTAGTTTCATATATGACACACATTTATTTCTAAAAAAATTATGTCTATATTGCAGTATTGTCTCCTACATATGCATTTTACTAAGTAGCATCTATAAATTTGCCACATTCATGTTTATGCTCTTTAAAAATATGTTGGTGTGACAAAAACTAAATTCCTCCAGATTTTAAACAAACAGTATTTCTTTGATTCCCAATGAATTATAAACTTGAGTTTGGCCTTTGAACATGAACATGAAACAGTTCTTAAGTTTTGGCTAATTTTAGACATTTGATAAAAATAGACTCAATCTGTTAACTCTGTACTCTGATTTTTCAGAAGTTCATTATGCTTGAATAATTGATGAGTGAAATGAATTATTTGCCACGTGTAAATTAAAATGATTGATTTTCATTACTTTTCCTTCATTTTCTGTTAAAGAAAATCAAATCAGATTTCCACAACTGAGTTATTAAGTACGGATTAACATTTCTTAGAATCTATTTTTTGGAAGAAGTTGCTTGGTTATCATTTCTTAACTTGGGTGTCAAAATCCCTTATAAGTAAGCCTTTGGGTTGCTGCTAATGTTAAAAAGTCTCATATTAGATGTCTTTTCAATACTTGAGCTTGATATTTTTATATTGGGTCATTTCTGGAGCATTTGTGTAAGGATACATTTGTAAATTTTTTGAAGGGCAAATGGGAATTATTTTCTAAAGCGTCTTCTCTCATTGTAAGATGTGGTCTTTTCATGATTTCAAACATGTAGGTAAGTTTAAATCAGTACTTTTCAAGCAAGCAAATTATGAACACTGAGTATCATAACATTAAGCTCTTAAAATGCAAGACATTACTTATTTTTTAAAAATTCCCTATTATTAAATATGACTTTTCTAAAAGTGGCAATAAAATCATATATAAATCTATTAGATATATAATATGTATAGTATACATCTGTACAATATATCATAGGGAGTCATATTATTTTTAATCAACATATCCTTATTTATATGAAGACATTCTCAAAATAAATGATTGATAAAAGTCCTTGCAATATGAGCTATGCATATATTCTTAATATATAAAATAACAGCAAAACTTGAAATATTAATAAGGTCTTATACCCTTTATCTTTTATGCCTAAACAAATTCAACACAGTATTTTTAGCATTGAGAAATTGATACCCCAAAACAGTTCATTTATATACTACTTTATTAATAGATGTATTTTAAGATACATACTAATTGAATTTTATTCAAATTAAATGTGTTTAACTTTCTGCAGAAGAGTCAGAATTCAACTATTGAGATACTTTTCTATTGGGATATCTCCTAATGAATTTCACCCTGGCAGACAATTTTACTTTAAAAATTACAAAATATTTTATATTACACAAGTGAATTAATATTAAATTCACAGCTTTTGAAGAAGATCAATAAAATGAACGAACATATACTACCACTCAGGTTAAAAAGTAGAACATTACCAATACCTTTGAATTATTTTGTGTGCTCCTCCTCAATTATATCCTTTCTCTTCCTCAGAGGACACCACAGTCCTAAAGACATGTTTTTACAATGTCCTTGACTTTCTTTACATTTTTACCACATGCATACTTAACCCTAAGCAACATATTATTTAGTTTTATCTGTTTTACATATTGTACTATCATTATTTTGTGACTTGCTTTTTTTAAGTTAATATTATACTTTTAAGATTTATCCATGTTGATGCATCAGAAATAGTTCATTCATTTTCATTACTGTATAGTATTCCAGTCTATGAATATTCTACAATAAATCCATTCTCCTATAAATAGACTTTGGAATATATTGAGTTTTTGGTTTTGCTTTCATAAACAATGAATATATGTCTCCTGGAGCACATGGACAGTGTTCTTTATGATAAATGCATGGCCTCATAGGTGTGCACATATTAAACTTGACTATGTTACATCAGATTGATTTCCAGAGTAAAAGTATATAAACGTAACTGTCTACTCAACATCCTTACCAACTCTTGATATTTGTCAGATTTGTTTTTAAATTTGTTAGCAATCTCTTGGGTATAAAATTCTATTTCATTGGAGCTTTTATTTACATTTTCTTTACAAGCATCTTTCCCTATTTATTGGCCATAAGTATTTCCCCCTTGGTAATATGTTTAAAAGTTTTTTAAAACAATTTTTTTCTATTGTATTTTAAAAAACAGATTAGTAGGAGTTCTTTATTTATTCCAGTACCTAATCTTTGTCCATTTTATGTGTTGCAAATATCTTCTCCCTATATTTAGATTATTTTACCATTTTATTGTACAGTGATTTTAGAATTTGGCAATCTGTTTTTATTTTATTTTTTTATAGTTCATGTATTTTTATGTCTTGTTAAAGAATCCTTTGATGCCTTTATATTCTCTTGTAATTTTGCTGTGGATGTTTTAAAGTTTAATCTCTTATATTTAAGCCTTTAGTTCACTTGGAAATGATTTTTGTGTATGATGTGAAAGAGGGATTTCAGTTCCATTTACCGACTAACTTATTATTTCTTCATTGACCTATAAGTTTTCACATTTTGGGGGAAGGGATATTAGATTCTGGGCTCTATATTCTGTTCCATTGGCTTGTTTGTCTATCTCTATACCACTACTACCCTTCCTTTTTTCTTTTTTAACGTCTTTATTGGAGTATAATTGCTTTACAGTAGTGTGTTAGTTTCTGCTTTATAACAAAGTGAATCAGTTATACATATACATATGTCCCCATAACTCTTCCCTATTGCATCTCCCTCCCTCCCACCCTCCTTATCCCAACCCTCTAGGTGATCACAAGGCACCGAGCTGATCTCCCTGTGCTATGCGGCTGCTTCCCACTAGCTTTCTATTTTACATTTGGTAGTGTAGATATGTCCATGCCGCTCTCTCACTTTGTCCCAGCTTAACCTTCCTCCTACCCGTATCCTCAAGTCCATTCTCTAGTAGGTCTGTGTCTTTATTCCAGTCTTGCCCCTAGGTTCTTCATGACCATTTTTTTTAGATTCCATATACGTGTGTTAGCCTACGGTACTTATTTTTCTCTTTCTGACTTACTTCACTCTGTATGACAGTCTCCAGGTCCATCCACCTCACTACAAATAACTCAATTTCGTTTCTTTTTATGGCTGAGTAATATTCCATTGTATATATGGGCCACATCTTTATCCATTCATCTCCTGATGGACACTTATGTTGCTTCCATGTCCTGGATACTGGAAATAGAGCTGCAATGAACATTTTGGTACATGACTATTTTTGAATTATGGTTTTCTCAGGGTATATGCCCACTAGTGGGATTGCTGGGTCGTATGGTAGTTCTATTTTTAGTTTTTTAAGGAACCTCCATACTGTTCTCCATAGTGGCTATAACAATTTACATTCCCACCAACAGTGCAAGAGGGTTCCCTTTTCTCCACACCCTCTCCAGCATTTATTGTTTGTGGATACTTTGACGATGGCCATTCTGACTGGTGTGAGATGATATCTCATTGTAGTTTTGATTTGCATTTCTCTAATGATTAATGATGTTGAGTATTCTTTCATGTGTTTGTTAGCAATCTGTATATCCTCTTTGGAGAAATGTCTATTTAGGTCTTCTGCCCATTTTTGGATTGGGTTGTTTGTTTTTTGATATTGAGCTTCATGAACTGCTTGTAAATTTTGGAGATTAATCCTTTGTCAGTTGCTTCATTTGCAAATATTTTCTCCCATTCTGAGGGTTGTCTTTTCATCTTGTTTATGGTTTCCTTTGCTGTGCAAAAGCTTTGAAGTTTCATTAGGTCCCATTTGCTTATTTTTGTTTTTATTTCC